AACTTGTTTTTCTTTTTTTTGTTTTGTAAATGGCAAATTGCCCTCAGAATTAGTATCGGTACCGGGTTGGCTACCTCCATTTTTACTCTAAGAGAGGAGTCAGACAAGGATGTGTACTTTCTCCAGACTTGTTCTCCCTGTATAGTGAAAATATCATGAGACATAGAAGAAATGCCTGGTATCTCGATAGGGGGACATAATATAAACAATCTAAGACAGATGACACTGTCCTAACAGCAGAAGATGCCCTAGTTCCCCCTTTACAATCGATGATACTTCAAGGGTAGGTAAAGGAGTCCACTTCTTCCAGGGGGGTGTCTTCCACTATCACAGCAAGGCTTGACACTTTCCCTTGCTTCATTACGTTCGACTCTCAACCGTAAGGTCATGGGTTCGAATCCCGTCAGGGACCCGACGTTGTGTCCTTGGGAAAGGTACTTTACACGTATTTTCCTCACTTCACCCAGGTGGGAATGGATACCCGGCTATAGACAGCGAAAGATCTTGTCAGTTTGTCAGTGTTTGACCGCTTAATCAGCTGCTTGCACTATATGCTTACCGGGAGGCTGAGAATGTTTTGGAGTGTTCTATGGTCTGCTGGGGTAATAATATAGTGTTAAGCGCATAGAGCCTGCTGTTGAGCGGGGATATGCGCTATACACATGCTCTTTATTTATTGTTATTATTATTATTATGTATACGCAGGATCAGTGTGGAGGTCACGAAAAAACACTTTCTACCTTTCCCTATCCTGGTCTAACTCTCGATGTAATTCCATATTGTCTTCCCATTTTTCTGTCCATATTCGCTTCCCTTGTACAAAGTTCTATCTGCTCACTAGCTTGTTTTGACCAATTTGACGTAAACATTTTGAGTTTCACAATAATAATATGTCAAGCTTTTTCGAATGCATTTCTTTGAATATCTTGATAACGACTCCGAATATTCTTATACGTTGTACAGAGCAGATAGTGCATATTTGGTCTCTGACCTCATGGTTTTAGTAACTCAAAACGGCCAAAAATGTCAGATAGAACTGTGTAATTCTGAGGTAGTGATATGTGTGGGAGAGCACGCAGAGGCTCTCGTGGCCTAGAGGGTAAGGTGTTAGCCTCTCATTCAATAGGTGCCAGGTTCGAATCCGGATAGAGACGGACATTTTTCTTCCCTAAAATTTTCCTGCTCTATAAGAATGTTCTGTCGTCTGCTCCTTAGCTCCTTCTTACTGTTGTCTTTTAACCACACCCCTAATCTAAGGGAACGTAAAATATCCACCTAGCCTTCTGGGACAAGGGCGAATAATCTTGGAGGTCCTGTGTGTAAGTTCATCATCATCATCCAGCGCTTTTGCCGACTGGCGTGGGCGATCATGGACCTCCCTCCACTTCACTCTGTCTTGCGTTGCAGCAATCATAATATTATGGTGTCTGTTGTTCTTGCTGCTCCCAGCCATGTTGTCAACCTGTCCTGTATCTGTCTCTCTGTCTGCCTCTGCCTCTCTTTCCATCAAATTTGCCTGTTGTTACAATATTCTCTACTAATGCTTCTTTCCGCATTGTGTGTCCAAT